CAACATCTTGTAAAAAAACACTATTATATTAAAAAAATTAAAAGAATATATATATATACATATATACCATTTCCTGAGTCATAGTATGAACAGAAGTTTGGAAAAGTGAATCTGCTCTCTAAAAATGAAAAAGAAATAACCTGGAGAGAGATGACAAAACAAACAAACAAACAAAAAAACCCCACCCTAAACACTATGGTAATATAAGACTAGGATATAAATACTAGTAAATGTAAGTACAGTTCCGTATATATATATAAAAAAAACTTGCCATAAATAAATCTCACAAAGAACTCATATCTAAATGTATAATGATCTTTTATAATTCATTAAGAGAAAAAGCAACCTAGATTGTTTAAATGGGGAATAGTTTATATAATAATTTATGTGTATTTTGCTAGAGCTACTGTAACAAAATAACACAAATATTAGGTGGCTTAAATGACATAAATTTATTATCTCACAGGTCTGAGATCTTTAGAGTTGGTTCACTAGGAACTGTTAGAATCTATTTCATGCCTCTCTGTTGCCTCTGGTGGTATGCTGGCATTCTCTAGCTTATGGAGCCAGATCTCTGCCTTCATCTTCACAAGCTTTTCTTGCTCTTTGTCCAAATTTCTCCTTGTTGAAGTATACTGCATTAGTGCACACCTTAATGACCTCATTTCATCTTGATTATTCTGTAAAGTTGTTATCTTCAAATAAAGTGGAATATAAGATCAGTGTTCTGGGAATCTCCCTTCCTGGACAGTAGGCAAAAGAGCAAAGTCATATGCACCCATCCTACTCAGAAAAGCAGCAATGAAGGAATCTGCTGCCTGAGGTAAACAAGTCTTTCAACTTCCACTAACTGATCAAAGAGCCATATAAGAAAGATTTAATCAAGGGGTATCTAGCCTTGTATCTCTACATTGCATACTTTAGATATCTAGCCTTCCTCTGTGCAGAGAGAGTTTCAAATTTCTTTAGGTCAAGATAACTTAAGAAACTCAAAGATTTAAACCCATTCACAATTACTCTACTCCCATTCTTTCCACCTTTCTTCCCTCCCATGCAGAGTCATTATATCTTTGACATCATTGATGTACTGTTCCTATTCATGCAAACTAAATTCAAAACTTGTGACTTTTGAAACAATTCTCATAGAGTACAATATGTCATGATGCCTTCCGGGTTCAAATGCCCACTTTGATAATCTAATAACTTCTTTACCTAACTATTATTGAAATTCTTACTTCTGTCAACAAAGGTAACATTGTAAGATAGTAGGGTTTAGGACTGCAACAAATTTTTCTTTGCAGGAACAAATTAGACACATATACACTTCCCCCCAAAAAAGATACAGAAGTGGAAAATGTTAAGACTGACTTGATTAGCTGAAGTTGGTACATAGTCTGTAGACCAAAAGTTTTAGGGGACAACTCGTAAGCACCCTCAAAGGCCACATACACCCTGATTCATGCATTCCCAGCTGACAGTACCCATTGCTTTAGTCAATAAATACTCTGTAACTAACTGCTTGGGGTTCCGCTGTTGGAGAGAAATCTCCACTGGGCCTGCTGGAGTAAATAAAGAGCTTCCCTCCTCCTTTCTAAGAGATGCTTACTTCTCTGATGGAATTCTGCCATAACAATACTAATATCAAACATGAAAAGATGCTCAGTATTGTAAGCCATCAATGAGATACTACTACATAATCACTAAAATGACTTTTCTTTTGACTTTTTTTTTTAAAGAAAAGACAGGTAAAGAAAAGCAAATGATAGTGAAAATGTGG